AACATGGCGGCGCCAAACAGTGGCTACCTCAACCTACTTTCAGTTCCTTCGCCCGCTTCCCAGAGAGAATTACTGGTATGGATGGGTAGCAAGCCCGTAGATGTAAATTAAAATTGAACTTAACATATTATTAATAAATTTCAACTGCGTACAAAAATGTTAACTATACCTTAATAGTTCCCCCCCTTGAAAATCCCCCTAGATACGCCCCTGCTGGTAAGTCAGCAGCGAGAGAGAGACGCAGTCCGTCAGCCAGCTTTCTTACCCCTATTGTGCCCGGCATGTTTACCTTGCCCCGACCACTTGGCCACATCATAGCGCCCCATTGCAACACACCCCCTCCCCCTCCCTCTCCCCCACATGCTTGCTGGAGGCCCTCATCATGTGCCGCCCTCCCTAATTATACCCTACAAATGAGTGGACCTAAATTGTTTCGTGTTAGAGCGAGCAAACACAACAAAAATATGGTGAAAAATGTAGTACATCCTGCAGTTTTATTGTGAATACGCGAATGTAGCTAGCCAGCTTTGGTGTAATCTTAAAAATACATAAAGGTATGCTGTCGAATTTTACTAAGCCCACATATTTTTAATACCATTTCAGCTTCCTCTTTAACTGATACTAAGAATTTTTTTGTTTTTAGTTATTGAAGTATTTCTATCTGTATTAAAACAAATTTTTGTATACATACGTTTTCATCTTGAATTACTAAAAATGAACTATGCAGATAAGCAAGCTCTTCGGGAATTCACTTGATCTCTTTCCCGCCCAGAATATTACCAACTTTTACACTTTCGCATTGGGCCTTGTTTTTGGCTCTCACAATTTTGATATGCCGTGTTTTCAGTCCAGTGCCTTCAGTTTCCCGGCTTCTTCTATCATTCCGTGCACATTTTTGTTTGTGTTTTCAGTTGTTTTTGTTGAATTACATGCACACATACAGAAGGACAAATATTTATTTAAAACTTATGCCCGAGGCCTTTCATTACAGCGCACGGTAAAAATATGTATTTCACTCTTCTATGTTATGCCCCCTTTTCTCCTTTCACCCTTTTCCTCTGGTGCACTCCTCTCCCTATTCTTTTTTTTTGCTCTGTGCAGATGTGCGGCATGTTGCTTTGTGCTCAGCATTCGCCTTCTCCTCCCGCCCCTTTCCCCTGTTGCCCAGATTTTTGGTCCCTAGCTCTTAAGTGAAAATTTTCCGTCCAAGCAGCGGGTCCTTTCACAGTCTTCGCCTACTTAATGCACTTGTAGCCAGCTCCCGCTCCAGATCCTTTCAGATCCGCCACCGTGGCCAGCCCCACCACAGACCACACCCCCTTCGGCCCCAATTATGACGTCTAGCGGAGTTCTAATTAGTCTCCGTACTACTCCCCCCACTCCAGACCCGCGTTCCCGATCCTGAGAATCCCTACGCTTTGTATTGTCTGTGTCCTTGTGTCTGGGCCATTGTCTTGCCCGAAAGGAACAATGTGCATTACACCATTGCAGAATAATAGTCAGAGCTGTTCAAATTTGTATTGGATTTACTCTCCAAATTATTTAAATATATACATGTCTTAGTTTCGCATTGATACTTTAATTTTAAAGCAAATGTTCAAAAAGTTTCTTTAGTTTCTGAAATTTAAGTGTGCATCATTTCGTATTCAAATTGTTAATCGTTAGAATATTAAAGGGATTGTAGACTACTAACATTGTTTCGAAATCCTATCTGCCTATCGATATCGATATCCTATCAATGTGGCATAATTAAAATTTTGGGCAATGAAAATGAACTCCAATCAAATACCCTTTAACATAACATGGATCAAGAACTTCGCGTAATTTAATAGTATAGCACTATAAATACATCGTTTTTGAATAGTTGTTCAGCAGTCCGAACTCACCTGTCAATTGGGTGGCGCAAAGTTTACATTAAATTTCGCCGTGGTAAAATGTTGTTAATTAGTTTGAATGTTTTCAGTTTGTTTGTTTTCTTAGTGTTTGTTGTTGGGCGAGAACGCTTTTGGGCGCCAAAAAGTACAGTCACCAACACAGAGGCAAAACACACACAGGCACAGAGCGACTGTTATTAGCTGTCGAAACTGTTATTTCCCGTGGTCGCTATCTCTTTCAATCGCTCTCAATATCCTTACATCCGCTCTCTCTTTCTCACTTCGGGCACTTTCAATGCAGTTGGCGGCGTTTTGTTTTTGGATGATGCACTTAAGCCGCTGTTATCGGTCGTCAACCGGGTAATTTTTTTGGTAATTTCTGGGTATCTCCTTTCGTCGAACTTGGTCGGCTGATTGATGGATGCCAGGCGCACACACTGCACAAGGAACACACAACTTGACTGAGCGAAATTGCACAAATAACTGAATTGAAATATCCCCCCGCCTCACACACACACACACACACACACACACACGCACACACACACGCAGAGCAAAAGGGAAGGAGTGAGCGAGACAGAGATATGGCGAGGAACGGAGAAAGCATGCTCTGCCTCACTTATTTTCGTTCAGAAATTTCTTACAAATTTGCTAAACCCAAAAAATGAGTACAGAAGCGCGGTGCACTCGAGTGCATTTTAATTGATTTTTTCTTTATTTTTTCGCCCGGCTTTCACTCACAGCAGGATGGCATCTCGCTCGGGCCCACGCGGCGTATGCGTAACAATTCAGTTGCAATTCGGCGATTTGAGTGAGTTTCTCCTGTCAGCGAGTGCGACTTTCGAGTGGGCGATCTCTGTGGGTCACGGCTCCAGTTGCACTCCTATATAATTTTAAGTTTTAATTAGCTTTTTGTTGCTGCTGTAATTTCGACAGCAAACAAAAGTTGCTGCTGCATCAAAATTTTAATTAATTACACGTAAGAATACTCAAAAATTGATGGCTACAGGGAGGTTCCTTTCGTTTTGGACAAACAATTAGCATTTTACTGTCCCAAATGTAATGCGAAAGTATGAGGCTAAATGAATGAAAAGTTTGCCGAAGTTTTGTAAGGGATAGCTTTCAAATTTTCCAGAGGATAGTGGGGAGAGCAGTTAAGCTCGGTATAGACAAACTTTTTAATAAGAAAAATTGCTCGTTTGGGGTCGGGAAAATTAAGTCCTTAAATTGGGGACTGGAAAATGTACCCTTTCGCATAATTCAACTCCAGGATGTATTTAACTTTCACGGCGTCATTTTCAAATGTCTAATCTAATCATTTTCAAAATATGAGCTTTTTATTGAAACATGCATATTCTTTTTTAGAACGTTAACCATTAGTAACCATTTTTTATTAAAACATGATAGGTTTCTTGCACAATCGATGCCTTAAGGATCTTAGAAATATTAGACTCAGCATAAAATACCTTTGAATCGTAAACAAACCACCATGCCAAGTCAAAGGGCAAGTCACTCGGCTCAAACAACTGAGGCTACCTTAATACAGGGTGTCCCGAAATCCGTGCACATCCAGGCTTGAGCATGCGTAATGGGCACCTAGCCGGAGCAACTCACTCAACTGGAGGGCATCGAGAATGCAACACCTACGCGGCTCAAATACACCTGAGCCACCTGGAGTAGTGCGACAATCGGAGAGAGAGCCAGAAACTACCCCGGGCAGAGAGAGCGGGCGGCGGCAGGCAAACGTCAGCTGCATGAGAACCCAAAGGCGGGACAATTCCAATTGTGACATTTTGCATTGTTGGGCAGTGTAATGACACACAGCTACACGAACGCGTAAGAGTTCAGCACGGGAAAGGCCTTAAATATTTATGAATGGCATGTTGTATACTTTTTGGGCACATTCGCAGGAGGTACAAGGTATGTATATTGAAAACAAGGGAGAATGCTACAGTCGAGTTTATCGTCTATCAGATACCCGTTACTCAGCTAGTGGGAGTGCAAACGAGAAAATTCCACATTTCTTGTTGGCATATCGATAGAAAGTGACACGAAATGTAAAATCAGAAATAAAATGAAAAACAAATCAACACATTTTGTGGGCATTAGAGTGGGTGTTGCACTACGATTATTGGCATACCGATGGAAATTGGGGTAACAAATAATAAAATTAATAAAAATCAAAACATTTTGCAAAACAGTAGGCGTGGCAGTTTTGGCAGCTTTGTGGGCGTTGGAGTGGGGCCGACATCAGGAAAAAAACTTCCTTCTACCTCTTACATACTATTCAACGAATATAGTATACCCCATTACTTTAAGTGTTATGGGTATACCAATTCTTTGGAATTCCCCACGAGCTTTTTGTAAGTAATTGTAGGTTTATAATAATATAAAAGTTAACACACCGCATGTAACATATCAAAATAGACCATTGTGTTGTATAACCAAATTGTATAACATACAACCAAGAAAATGGTGAGACTATTGTAAGACAGTCACGGATACCAAATTAATTACGACCCCGTTTTTCCCTTCGCCTTTCTTCGCAAGATGGTTCAACTTCTACATATGCAGTTTTTAAGCAACACTTTCCAAATTGAAATAGTTTTACCGTCGATGCATGACCAAGGCCAAAAGTCTGTAGCCAAAATGTCCCTCACACTGAACTCTCGGCCAACGACCATGCTAATCGCAATGGAAAATCCGAAAACCAATACGGTTCTAATTGTTAGAATCGGAGTTATTACGGTTGACCTCATCCGGAGGGCGTGAGTGAGCATTGACCACGGTCCAGGCCGGCAATGAACCTCAAAGAAGTGGAAACCACCACTGGCATCGCACATGACTAGGCGGACCATCAACCAATTTTAAGGTTAATGACTGTGTTTACGCAGAATGAATGTGAACCCCTGGCGAAAAAAGCGGTTGACTAATTTAAATTGATAGCAAAACGGCTATCAGATGAGCTGTGGGATGAGTAATCGAGGCGCTAGGCCAATAAGGGCCAACTAGTTTTGTTTTGCTTCGTTCTTTTGTTGTTAACTCGCACTAAATACATACGTTTGCAGTGCCTTCAAATTGGGATTTCGAAATATTGCGTATACGTCGGCTGGGTCATGCACGAACGAGCAAACCGAGCAGCCGCTGATGGGCGCCCGATTAAGCTCCATTAAAAAAGCGTTTTATGCTTTAAAATCGCAAGCATTCGGCGGCAAACTCTATAAAACCAGTTAATGTCGGGGTTTTTGCATTCAGTTAACGTTCGAGGATTACACACGCCAAACACGCCAAACACGGCCAGCAAAAACATGTCCCTGAAACAGTCGAGCAGCTCTTCATGTTATTGGTTCGGCTTGGTCCTGCTCACGATGCTCCTGCAGCCCTCCGCGAGCCAATATTACGGATATCCCTACTACGGCGGGGCTAATGCGGCAGCAGGAGCGGGATACGGAAACATCTACGGCAGCGGCATGTACGGATACCCCTACAGCTACGGCGGATATCCGTACTACTCGTACCCCGGCTACAACCCGTACTCCTCGATGTACGGCGGATACGGCCAGTACGGGTATCCCTATGGGGGATATCCCTATGGCGGCAACGGCATGAGTGAGTTTTCCGGCTAAGCGCACCTTAGTCCGTAGCACCCAAGTAATCTACAAGTGTTCTGGACCTCTTTCTTCCTCTAGACGTGGCCTACGCCAGCAGCAGTGGAGGATTCGCAACAGCCAGTGCGGGCGGAAGCGGATACTACGGCTAAGCGGCTCGCAACCTGAGATAGTTAAGTGTACGGTTAACGGTTAAGTCACCCTACTCCATAAGTGTGTTAGTGCTAATAAATATATTATTTATGTACTATGGCTAAGTCAAGATTAATTGTTGGGTTACAATGCTTTTTTCAAGGGGTAAAACACGGTGACAAAGTGATCTAAACGGGAGAACCTTAAAACTCTTATTACAATCATAGAATTCTATACTTCCAGTAATATGTAACTACTAGAAAACTGTATAATTAGTAATTGATGATAGCTCGAAAAACTAATGTGGTAATTTGTAATAATATTAAAAGGCAGAAGGAAGCATTTCAGACCCTATAAGTGCACAAGCATGATCCAGACCATAGCCAAGTTGAAGGAGCCACTTTATAAGAACCATAAAAGGTCAGAAAGATGCAGATTTTAGAATATAGAATGGCTTCTGTTTAGATTCTGAGAAAAAGAAAAGTATTTACCTTTAACGAATATATGTACATATATGACCAAATCTCTAAGCTCACGTTATAAGAGTAATTACAGGTGCCCTGGAGGCTGTGATCTCTAAAATATGCATTTAGGTGTTTTAAAAAAAAATATATAATTTTATAATTATAATACTTGGTGGATTTATTTGTAGTTCATTACACTTTATTACAGTCACTTGATAACTGATTATCAATATTATTCTTATGCTCTAACAAACCTTAAAGATCTACGGAACTTTACCAGTTTGATTATCGATAATTTAGACTATCGTTTAATGGTTTGTGTCTTGGGAGAATTTTTACTGTGAGGCTTTTCAAAAGATCGGCTTACGTTTTTTATATGGAAAATGAATATGTCAATTTGACTAATTTTTCTTGCATCGTGACCACCAAGTAGGGCACTGAATAGCGATCGAATCCTGGTCGGATCGGCCGACAAACGCCGAGACGTACCAACAGTTTAGGCCGAATATGATGTAATACATTTACCAGATTAGTAGATGTAAATTTAACTTTATTTATAGTTCTACAACTTACCACTCATTTTGTTGTTCTTAACAGTTTTGGGCGGTTTGTGATCGATAGAGTGGGCGTGGCAATACTTGGAAATAAACTTGCGCTGCGTCTATGTCTCTGGAAGCTGCATGCTTAATCTCAATATTCTAGCTTTTGTAGTTCCTGGGATCGAGGCGTTCATACGGACGGACGGACGGACATGGCCAGTTCGATTCGGTTATTGATCCTGATCTAGAATATACATATATACTTTATATGGTCGGAAAGGCTTCCTTCTGCCTGTTACATACTTTTCAATGAATATAGTATACTCTTTTACTCTAAGTGTGTGGAGTAATTGAAACTTTTTAAATTGCAATTGCACTTGCACCGCGCCGTGGGCAACCAATTTTGCGGTCCAAAATCGGTTCTAACTCATTTTCTTAACATTAATTACGTCCTTACAAACATTTTCAAGACTTCTGCGAGTGCGAAATAAACGAGAATTCACAATAAATCAGTTTTCGTAGCCACGTCATCAACGATAGATATAAACTAAATTTTCGAATCGAATCGAATACTGAAAGTTAACGGTAAACAAGTGTCGAGTGATGCCAGATTTAGTGAAGTCAAAGAAGAGGCTGCCACATCGGGCACAGACGAAGACAGTATGCCCAGATTTGCACTTTCCAACGGTGGATTATATTTGTGTGAACACTTCCAAATTCGAACCGAATAGTCTCGCAAAACAGAAAACAAAGGCACACACGTCGTGCTCTCGCCGAATTCCGCCGCCGTCGCCTGAAACTCACACAAAGTAAGCCCGAAATCAGTGGAAAACCGCCGAAAAATCGAATTGGTGGTGCAAATTGTATGAATGGGAGTTAAAAGGCGGAGGCCATTAGGCGGCAAAAAAATTGCATTGCGTAATTAAGGCCAATAAGAAAAGCAAAAAAAACAAAGCCAACCAACTGCATTCTATTGCGCCTGTGTGTGTGCGTGTGTATCTACAGCTGAGCAGTAAATAAATTTGTTTTATATTCGTCCTCAAAAGGCAACTTTGCAGTGCACCCGTCCTCTCCATTCCCATAAATCTCCTCCTTTCAAATAAACATCAATGTCTTTAATATATCGTAATATATTATTAAGCACTTGACAAGCTGTGAGTGGAAAGAGGAAGACAAAGAGCAGAAGTATTCTTACGTTAAAAGAGCTTGTTCCACATATTCGCCACCTTTCTCCCCACTTCCTCTCTATCACTATCTCTCTCTCTATCTCTCTATTGGCCATCTCTTTCCCTCTCACAGAGGCTGCTCTTGCGGGGGGGTGTTTTTCGGTTCTCTACTTTTGCGCCACTTTTGCACCCCTTCCCCTTCATGTGTGCCGCTTAATTTCATAAATCAAGGCAGTGCCAGTTAAAAAACGCAAGAACTACGTACATACGTATGTACTTCTGCTGAGACCCCCTTCGGCCCCCTTCTCAGTCTTTCTGGTTTCGGCAATGGGAAATTTCCGTAGCCACCGCACAGTGGAAAGAGACAAGCAGCCGGCAACTGAAATTACATGATTGCAACCTCGCTTTTATGGGCAGACAGTTAATTTTTTATCGAGATGCAAGATGAGCCCAACGTTCACTTTTTAAACGCACAGTGCCAAGAAATCCGCACCAATTGGTTACCTATGCATTGTATTAATTTCCATAACAATACCATTTAAAAATGTTTCAAAGATAATATGTTCAGTGTTCCAGGCAAAGGATATTTTCTTTCTTATTTCCCCTTGTTATTCTTTCACACAATTTAAAGTAAAACCCTCATTATGTGGATGCAATTGACAAAAAAAACGGCATAAGCAAACTTACTTTTCGATTGATTAAATTGTATCAGCTTTGGCACGCACTCATCCCACTGTGCGCTTTGTAGACAGAACAGCTGATGCTCGTCAAATTTTACCTTGTGATTGTGCATAAAAGCGCTCTGAGTGCGCCTGTGTGTGTGTGCGAGGGAACGTGGATATCGATAATAAAATAAACTGAAAATAAATCAGTCATCTGCTCGGCTGACCAACTGGCCAAGTGAGCGCATATTCTAGAATTGCATGTTAGTGCGCATACTTTTGGGTCGCAGTGTTTTGCGTCTTATCTGGGGGGTGTGTCGTCGGGAGCTTCACGTTTGGCTGCTTATCAAAATCACGCGACTCGACGCGGACCCCCAGTGAATTGCCAAGGTTGCTGATAAGTGCATACTAATCAAACTTTTGTCTCGCCTATCGCTCAGATAGCAAAATTCTAGGTGGACCGAGCCGACGACGACGAAGAATATAGAGACCGCTTATATAATCCGGCAGTAAAGGAGACAGGCCCCTAAAACCGAACAAGATGTTGCGAATGCTGCGAAGTTCCTCCTCCAGATGCACAAGTCTGCAGCAGAGCGTGCTGAAAAGGTATGCCCAGGTTTATAATATATTATTTATTTATTGATTTAAAAGTGACACTCAAAAGGTTAAGATACCTATTATGCATATAATAATTTTATACACACATTTAATTTTTGTTGGTCTTATTACATTGTTAGCACTTCAATTATTTCAGTTCCATTCGCTGTCTGGGTTCCGTAATACCGGATCTCAAACTGAAGGACTTCCCGATCGAAAATGAGCCGATCCTGGGATATCGCAAGGACTCTAAGGAGCGTAAGGCCCTGGAGCAGGCTCTGAAGGGCACGGCCTCGAGTTGCGAGGACATCCCCATCGTGATCGGCGGCAAGGAGTACAAGACGTCGGAGATTCGATACCAGGTCATGCCCCATGACCACCAACACAAGCTGGCCAGCTTCTACTACGCCGACAAGAAGCTCATTGAGAAGGCCATCAAAACGGCGGTGGAAACACAGCCCAAGTGGGATCGAGTGTCGATTGCAGACCGCCTGAAGATCTGGGAGAAGGCAGCGGACCTAATGGCAACAACGTATCGGCAGGATCTCAACGCCGCTACCATGCTGGGTCAGTCCAAGACGGCAATCCAAGCGGAAATCGATTCAGCAGCGGAGCTTATCGACTTTATACGGTGAGTGATGTCATGATTCATTACAAGATATATGGAGAACAAGTACATAATCTGTTCCAATCACATTTTTAAACGATTTTCCAAATAGAAAAACCAAATATTCAAAATATTCCATATCTGCATGGTTAGAAATATTTGCTTTCTGATTCTGTGCTAATGGATTATTTAATTCTTAGAAAATAATGTTTTCCTGTATACCAATTTTTCAAAACAAGAATCAATTTATTTATTTATAAATTGATCAATATAAATATTAAACAATTAAACTAATCTGTATATACGAACTTATAATTTATTTATATTTAAATTTATTTATCCTTTGGAACTAAAATACAAATTCTATTACGCAGAATGAATGCCTATTTTCTGAAGGAGGTCACCAAGTACCAGCCCATCAGCGAGAACATAAAGGTCACAAAGAATTCCTTGCGCTATCGTGGCATTGATGGTTTCATCGCCGCTGTCAGCCCCTTTAACTTTACGGCCATCGGTGGCAACTTGTCCTACACGCCAGCTCTGATGGTAAGACTAGCCAATGACTGGAAATACCAATAAAGCAACTAACCACCTTTGATTTTCGCAGGGAAATGGTGTGCTGTGGAAGCCCTCGGACACTGCCATGCTGTCCAACTGGATTATTTTCAAGATTATGCGCGAAGCTGGAGTGCCCGATGGAGTGGTCAACTTTGTGCCCGCCGATGGTCCCGTGTTTGGGGACACGATTACGGCCAGTCCCCACCTGGCAGGCATCAATTTCACCGGCTCCGTGCCGTAAGTAATTGTCGGTCTATTGATTTTCCTGTTCAATACCATTTCCGCCGACGCAGAACCTTCAACCGCTTGTGGAAGCAGGTGGGCAACAACATCGACAACTACGTCAACTTTCCCCGCTTGACTGGTGAGTGTGGCGGCAAGAATTTCCACTTTATACATGCATCAGCCGATGTGGAGTCAGTGGTGACCTCCACGATACGCTCAGCATTTGAGTACTGCGGCCAGAAGTGTTCAGCCTGCTCGCGCATGTATGTGCCGGAATCCCTGTGGCCACAGGTAGGTTCAA